TATGTATGATACTGTAATAGTAGATACGTTCATTGTACAGCTGTCAACACCCATAGAATGTACAAGAACAAGAGTGAACCCTTATGTAAACTATGGACTTTAGTTAATAGTAATGCATCAATATGGGCACATCAACTGTAACAAGTGTACAACACTAACGCAAGGTGTTAATAATATGGAAAACCGGAGGGGGAGAAGGAAGAGAGGTTTATGGGCATTGGGTACTTCCTGCTAAGTTTTTCTGTAAACCTAAAACTGCTCTAAAAAAAAAATAAAGTCTACAATTAAAAAAAAAGAAGGCAGGAATGGAGGCAACATTGTAATTACTTTCAAACATTCATTTGTTTCTCTTATAACTAGGCCCAAGTGAGAGTTAAAAACCCTTGAGTGCAATAACAGAAAATGTAACACAGGAGGATTTAAGACAAAAAAGGACCAATATTGGGCCATGTAACAGGACAGAGACAGGACTTCTTGGCCCCATCCTGGTCATGAAGTCCTGCAGATGTTCCTTACATGCCTGTCACCTGCAGTTCCCATCCTCCACCTCCATGGCCATGGCCTTTATTGGTTGCCCTGCCCTCATGTTGCCCTGATTGTCCACCCTACAGCTAGAATAATTCTTATAAGCTGCAAACTGTTTCTAATACCTCTTGGAAGGCAGCTATGCTCACCACAATTCTTATAAGCTGCAAACTGTTTCTAATACCTCTTGATTCTACCGTCCTCTTCACATGGAGTTCTCCCTCTATGTGTGTCTGTGTCTAAATTTCCCTTTTTAAATTTTTATTGATTTTTTTTCTTAGAGAGGGAGGAAGGGGGAGAGAGAGTGAGAAACATCAATCAGTTGCCTCCCATGTGTGCCCTGACCAGGAATCAAACCCTCAACTTTTGGTGCACACAATGATGCTCCAACCAAGTCATACCCATGAGGGCTATATTTCCCTTTTTCATAAGGACTCTAGTCACTGAATTAGAGCCCACCCTAATGACCTCATTTTAGCTCAATTACCTCTTAAAGACCCTATCTCCAAATAACGTGACATTCTGAAGTACATTCTGAGGTGAGGATGCCAACGTGTCTTTTGGAGGGATGCAATCCGATCCATAGAGAGGATGTTCAAATTGCTGTGTAACAAATTACCCCAAAATGTAGTGGCTTAAAGCAACCATTTCGTTATGCTCATAGATTTGGTGAATCAGGAATTCAGACACGGCACAATGAGAATGTTTGTCCTTGCTTCATGATGTCTTGGGCATGTACCTGGGTTGCAGGTTTGATCCCCAGCTCTAGTCGGGATGTGAGCGGGAGGCAACCAATTGATATGTCTCTCTTACATTGATGTTTCTCCCTCCCTCCCTCCCTATCCTTCCCTTCCACTCTAAAAAAAAAAGAAAAAAAATCAATGGAAAAATATCCTCAGGTGAGGATTAACAAAAAATAAAATAGACTGAGCAAACAAGGTGGAAGCTCTACCACCTTTATGATCTAACATTGGAAGTCACCTTGTTTTTCTTCTAGCACATTCTATAGGTTACAAGGGCCCAAGGGGAGGGGAATTATACTCTATGTCTAGAAAGGGTAATTACAAGGTTTTAGAGGAGTACAAGGCATGGAAGATATTGTTGCTGCCATCTTTAGAAAAACACAATCTGCCACAGTTGATCAACCTGTGTTTGCTACAAATTAAACTTGTTTTGGACTGAACTCCCTACTCCCCTCTCCTCCTAATGATCTGCTAGTCTCAATTTCTCTGTTTCTATCACTGATACAACAAATCTGAAACTGTTATTATCTCTGACTAGGGCAGGCATCATCTGCTGTTAACTTTAAAAACCACTATTTAGCCCTAGCTGGTTTGGCTCAGCGGATAGAGCATCGACCTGCGGACTGAAGGGTCCTAGGTTTGATTCCCGTCAAGGGCATGTACCTGGGTTGCGGGCACATCCCCAGTAGGGGGCGTGCAAGAGGCAGCTGAATGGATGTTTCTAACTTGCTATCCCTCTCCCTTCCTCTCTGTAAAAAAATCAATAAAATATTTTTTAAAACTACTATTTAACAAAATATTGGAGAGACAGTAAATTAAGCAAGAAGAGAACAGCACCCTTCCTGAGGAGTATAATAAAAAATTTATTGATTCTATAGGTATTTATTGAGTGTCTACTGTGTGCCAGGACAATGCCAGCTGCTGAGGAAACAAAGTCAAATAATGCAGTATGTGTAATGGTTAAAAGCAAGGGATGTTGTTGGCTTTCACCACCACCACATCATCATCATCTTAGATTCAGTTCTTGCTCTCTGATTTATAGTTTAGGGCTAAAAATATGGCTAAGGTACTCTGAAAAACAACTTGGCAGTTTCTGATAAAGTTAAGCAAACATCACATAACCACCAATCCTGTTTCTAGGCATTTACCCAAGTGAAATAAAAACCTATGTTCAGCTCTGGCTAGTTTGCCTCAGTGGATAAAGTGTCGGCCTGCAGACTGAAGGATCCCGGGTTCGACTGGTCACGGGCACGTGCCCGGGTTGCAGGCTCAGTCCCCAGTAGGGGATGTGCAGAAGGCAGCCAATCAATGGTTCTCTCTCATCATTGATGTTTCTATGTTTCTATCTCTCCCTCTCCCATACTCTCTGAAATTAATAAAAATATATTTAAAAAACCCCACAGAAAACCTATGCTCATACAAATAACTATATATGGATATTTATAGCAATTTTATTAATAATCCCCAAACTATAAACAGCTCAAAATGTCCCTCAACTGGGCATGGATAAACAAATGTAGTGCATATATCCAGTGAAATACTACTCAGCAATAAAAAAGAATAAAGTGCCCTGACTGGTGGGCTTGGTTGGTTGGAGCATTGTCCCATGTACTGAAGGGCCTTGAGTTCAATTCCCAGTCACGGCACATGCCCAGTTTGATCCCTGGTCAGGGTGTGTACAGACTGCAACAAATTGATGGATGTCTCTCTCTCTCTCTCTCTCTCTCCCTCCTCTGCCTCTCTAAAATCAATGGAAACATATCCTTGGGTGAGGGAAGAAGAAGAAGAAGGAGGAGGAGGAGGAGTAAGAGGAGGCGGAGGAGGAGGAGGGAGGAGGAGGAGGAAGAGGAGGAGGAGGAGGAAGAAGGAAGAAGGAAGAAGAAAGTACTAAGTACTGAAACATGGAACAGTATGGCTGACTCTCAGATGCATTAGCTGAGTAAAAGAAGCCAGTCTCAAAAGGCCATATAGTGTATGGATTTATTTATATGACATAAGGCAAAACTATAAAGATGGAAACAGAACAGTGGCTTCAGGGGCTGGGGAGTTTGGGAGGGGGGTTTAGGGCTACCTACAAAAGGTCATTGGGAGAACTTTGGTGGGTGATGGGACTATTCTGTACCTTGATTTTAGTGGTAGTTACACACAGGTATACATTAGTCAAAAGTTGCAGACCTGCACATACAAATGTTAAATCTTACTGTATGCAATGTAATTACAGGCACAGGTTAGAAACACGAGCTCTGCCATCAGTCATCCTGAGCTAGGAAGTCCTTAGAGGCAATAGATGGATGGGTCAGGACAGAAGCCACGTTGACGTTGTTCATGATGGCTTGCCAGGTATGGGAGTTGAGAAAGTGCTTTTAACTTTGTGTGTGTGTGTAGTTGGCTTTGAAAGGGAACACAGAGGTAGGAGGTGGTTGGAAGAGGAATTGGAGTGTGAACATTAACTTTTAAGATGGAAGAACATTTGAGTATTTTTAAGAGCTGGCAGCCCGGGCTGGTGTGGCTCAGTGGTTGGAGGGTTGTTCCACACACGGAAAAGTCATGGGTTCCTGGCACATACCCGAGTTGTGGTTCGGTCCCGGTTGGGGAGCTTAAGAGGGTGCAACGAACCCATGTTTTTCTCTCTCTCCCTTCCTCTTTCTTAAAAAAGAAAAAAAAATCAATAAACATATCCTCGGGTGAGGATTAAAAAAAAAATCGCTGATGGGAAGAATCCCATTTCAGAGGGAGAAGTTGGAGCCATAAGGAAAGAATGGAATGACCTGAGAAGGGTAGAGTAGCCAGATTTAGCCAACAAACATTTGAATTTCAGAAAAACAACACATACCTTTTTAGTGCATGTCCCCCACATTGCTGGGCGTCCTGTATTTTACCTGCCAAACCCCCAAACGGAAGATTTGGGGGCAAAAGGGTTTTTTAGCTGCGATACAGTAGGAGGGGTGGGGGCTCTGAAGTCCTTGCCAGCTGTCACATTCCGAGACTCCAGACTGAATTCCCGGTTCTACCAGGACCGGTAGTAAGTGGAGACGCTGCTTTGAATTTCAGCTTTTTTTTTTTTTTTTAAACACACATTTTTATTGATTTCGGAGAGGAAGGTAGAGGGAGAGAGAGATAGAAACACCAATGATGAATCGTTGATCGGCTGCCTCCTGCATGCCCCCCACTGGGGACCGAGCCCACAACCCGGCATATGCCCTTGACTGGAATCGAACCGGGACCCTTGCGTCCGTAGGTCAACGCTCTACCCACTGAGCCAAATCGGCTAGGGCTGAATTTCAGCTTTCGCCGCTTCCCCACTTTCTCTAGGACGGGAAGCGGTCAGAAAAAGGCTGCACGAAAACCTGTGGAAAAGTTCTAGTTGGAACATCAGCTCGTACAGCATGCGGAGCTTTCTGAACTGCGAACGCGCTCAGGATTGGGCGCGCAGGACGGTGAGTCACAGGGCACCCGGCCCGGGTCCTCCTCTGGACGCCACCTCCTCTCACCTCAAGGGCAGGCGGAAGCCGCGCCGGGACCGCCCGCGCCTGCGCCCTGCCGCCGCTCCGCTCCGCCCCGCCCCCTCCGGCCCGACATCCGGGGCTCGGGCGGCAGCGTGTCCGGGAAAAGGGGCGGGAGGCAGCGGAAAGGAAGATGTCGTGGGAGGCTGGAGGAGCCGGGAGGGCGGTGAGGCGGGGCGGGGCGGAGCAGGGGGCGGGGCGGAGCGAGCGCGCTGTCACGTGACGTGCGTGGCGACGTGTCGGCCATCTTGTGTTGTTGAGGCTGAGGACTGACTTGGGTTCTGAGAGACTCCCTGTCCCGGACCGCAGGTAACCAGCGACTCCGTCTCGCTCCCCTGCCCGGCACCGCTCCGCGCCCCGTCTCCGCTGTTCCTCCGGGTCGTCCGGGCCTTCCGCCCGCGCTCGCGTCCCCCGCCGCTCCGGCAGCCCTGGTCCAGCCGCATGGATAGCCATAGGCCGCCCTGGCAGCGGCCGCGGCTGGCTCGGGCGTCAGGCTAGGGGACAGGTCAGGTGCGGGGCCGGAGGGAGCTTCCTCCCCGGCGGGGGGCACGCCGGCCCGGGCGCGTCTTGTCCTCGGAGCCGGGGAGCCCCCTCCTCCGGGGCCCGTTGGCATCCCGGTGGGAGCTGACGAAGGGTGATGGGATGGGCAGTGTCAGGTCGGCTCGCTCGGGGCCAGAGGGCTCGCCATCCGCTACCTGCTCCTCGGGGCCAGCCCCCCGCCCGGCCTCGGGGTGCCCAGGGCAACAGCTGCTGCAGCGAGACAGCTGCTCCGGCCGGCCCCCCGCCCCACACCTGGCCTCGGGGAGGTGCGCCCTTGTCTTGCTCACTGAGTGTCTGCGCTGGGAGGCTCTTTCCGTGGAGAGAGGACGGGGTCTGGACCAGGCCCGAGGCCAAGTGGAGCCTTGATCGGAACCTGGGACAGAGGCTGGGAAAGGAGAGCCCTTGGTAGCTTGGGGTCCGAACGTTACTTCAGGTGAAAATGGGCCTTAGCCTTTAAGTGTCAGCAGTTTCCCACCAGGCGTCTGAATGCTTCAGTTTTGTGGCTGAAACAAGTCGAGCGACCAGGGGACGGGGGTGGGGAGGGGTGAGTATGAAAGAAGCAGGTTGTATGACTGGTGTTTGGGAAGCAGTAACGTTGCTTTGCATTTACCTACCACTGTGTTGTTGTTGTTGTTTTTAATTTTACATTCTTCTTTTTCTGAAAGTCAAAGCACTTAAGCACACCTAGTGTCTCTGTTAGAAAGGTAAGTATCCCAGTGTAACCTGCAAGAAATTGAGGGAGGGGCCGGAACCTGTAAACAGTTACTGATCCGGTATTACATACCTTGGGTTATAGGCAGTTTTGATTGCCAGTGTTGCGTGCGGGGAATATATATTCTTATGTAGTATTTCCTTTTTAGACTTTTAGATTAAAAAAGAATTTTCTTGTCATTGTTTCTGTACATTAATTCATTCTTCTAATATTTGCAGCTCTGGCCTTACAGAGTCTGTCCATTTTGGTTAGAATGTAAATGTGTTTTGTCATTCATTGGTGTTTTTATGTATTATACCAGTTAGAGTAGCACCTTTTTGAGTACTCAAACTGGAATGTGTGCTTTCCTGTTACATCAGATGTTGACATCAGTAGAGGACACTAGGAAAAAATTTTCAAGTGGCCTGTATCTGGGAAAATGTCACATAACCCTTCTTCCTTTGACATTTAACACTGAGGAATACACTGATGTTGGTAGTGATTCACAAGAAAAGAAAGGGCTTCACAGCTTTTCTATACTTGACAAAGCATTTTACAATTTTGAGAATGAGGAGGGAGTAAGGACCATGTGTCTTCATTCATTTATTTATTCATTCATTCATTCATTCATTCATGCATTCATTTATTTGACAAATATGAGACCTTGTTACACTGTTGGGTGCTGGGAGCAAAACAGACCAAAAATTCCTGTCTCCTAGGAGCTCATTTCTAGACAGATAAATAAATACTTAGGTAAAATATATAGTGCAGTGGTAAATGATGTGGGAAAAAATGAGACAGTGAAATAGGATAATAAAGAATAGGGGGAGGGATTAATTTTGAGTGTCCTGGGAAGGCCTCATGGAAAAGCTAATATTTGAGGAAAGACCTGACACAGGGAGAGGAGCTGCTCCTGTAGCTATGTGGAGGATGAATGCTCCAGGCTAGGGAAGCCAGGCAAATACCCCGAGGCAGAAACTGAAGGGAGCAGATAGAGCCTGGTGGCTGGGGAAAATGGAGGGTAGTCTAGCCAGAGAGGTGCAAGTGAGAGATGGGCTAGTAGGAAGTGTGTGCACAGATGAGAGGAGTTATTCAGTGTCCTGGACTCTTTCCACATCTCTGACTCTTGGAAAGGGAAATCAGATTCTGGAAATGTGGGCCCCTGTGCTCAAGCCCCTTCCTCTCCTACCCCATTTAGAAAAATTCAGGATGCTCACAGAACATCCTGAATGAAGTTGTCATGAAATATCTTTCTCAAAAGTAAGTTTTTAAAAAAGGTTGATGATAAGTTACCTGAAGTGATTTTTCGAAAGGAATTGCTTTTTAAGAAGGGGATCTTTGGGATAATTCAGAATATTTGAAAATGTAGAGATATAATGTTCTTTGAAGTTTAGATACAGATAAACTGAGGAAAGATATGGGATATGACCTAAAAGAAAGGTGAAATCAGTGTATTAACTCATGTTGTCCTTAATATGGTTAGCAAAGAATTCTTAATTATTTCTGTGTTGTCTAGCCTAGTTTTAAATTACTCAGGGACTCTTCCACTAATTTGTTTGTATATATTTTATAGCATTTTACATGTGCAGAACTTTATATGCTGAGTTTTTTATTCCTCCACATTTACCTTTTAGAATAGGTCTTCGATTTTCATTGGAAAATTTTTCTGATTTTCTTCTAGCTTATCTCCATATTCTTATTACTGAGCTTTCATAAATGTCCTCTTTTGTTTAAAAAAATATTTTTATTGATTTCAGAGAGAAGGGAGAGGGAGAGATAGAAACATCATTGGCTGCCTGCTGCATGCCCTCCACTGGGGATCAAGCCCGCAATACAACTCAACCCGGGCATGTGCCCTGACTGGTTCATAAGTCGACGCTCAACCCTGAGCGACACCAGCTAGGCTGTCCTCTTTTACTTTAATTCACTTTAGGTATTTAATATTTTGGTTTTGAAATGCTTTTGCTTGTGAGTTGCATATATGAAAGATAAGTTGTCCTAGGCTTGCCTGAAAATCATGAGAAGATAAGAATTACAGCTTCAGGATGTGAGTGCAGCTCCTTGGCTCAAAGGAGACATAGTGATGATAGTGACAATGGTAGTGTTTTCTTTTTTTGTTAGGTATTGTTTTAAGTGAATCAATTACCTTTCTCCTTTTTTTTTCATTGAATTTTGAAGTGACATTTCCAAATTATAATGTCTTTGATGTCATACCAGTTCATTTGTTCTCATGACTTTGCATTTTAATACTCCATATGTCCTCTTTTTGTTGACCTTCACACTGGAAGATGACAATATTGATAGCGATTACTATCTAGGAGAACCTTTTTGGGTGAAAAGATTATTACTGTCCCTTCCCTCCCAAAGTATCTTTGATTTGTGCCATTTTCAAATACTGACTTCATTTGCAGTTTTCCATTAGCCCCAGCTGAGTAAATTTTCAGTACTTTCTGTTTTGTTCTGTTTCTTATAGATTATAGTGGGACCAGTCTCATGAGATTGAATCTACTACAGCCTATGTTGGTGTTAATCCAGGTATTTTAGAAGCAGGTTAAATGTCCATTTTTCTTTAGCAATTTAAATTGCCTAACATTATTTGGTTATTGTTGTGAAACTTTGAATTCAAGCTTTTGTTCTCCCCCTTGACCCCCACTTGGATTTTATGATAATATCCTGGGATTTACATTCATGTTTAATGCCCTGAAGAAGTACATATCTTTAAAGGATTTTTTTTAATCCTCACCAGAGGCTATGTTTTTATTGATTTTTTTTTTTTTTTTAGCAAGAGAGGAAAGGAGAGGGAGAGAGAGAAACATCAATGTTAGAAAGAAACATTGATTGGTTGTTTCTGCATGTACCCCACCAGGGATCAAACTTGAAACCTAGATATGTGCTCCAACTGGGAATTGAATCCAAAACCTTTTCATGTATGGGATGTCGCTCTAACTATCTGAGCCACCCGGCCAGGGCAAGAAGTACATAGCTTTAAAAATATCAGTAGATTTTTTAATCCATAGGCAAGTTTATTTATATTTAGAATTTTAATATTTTTTGTCCAGATTAGCATTTGTTTTTTTATTTTTTATGCTCTCTAGATGACTGAAAAATATACTAGATTAATTATGCAGGAATACAAAATGATACCTTTGCTGAATTGTCCATAATTTTGTGGGAGGTTGAGGGAGAAGAGGGGAGAGGTTTGAAAAACAAAAGGGAATTCACTTAAATGGCCAAAATTAATTTTATAAAAATATTTTCAAAGTATTACATGCTTCCCTACTTGAAGAAATTAAGTAAGGACCACAATTTTATATTAATTATGGAGTTTCACTGAACTTGAACTTAATTTATAAAAGAAGATATTCTAGAGCTTGTTCTCTTGAGCCCAGAGGAAAGTTTGTTTTATTATCTAGTTCTCCCCTCTTCTTCTGCCTGCTTTTATAAAAAGTAGAGTGCATTGGGCAAAGTTGGATGACCTTTTGGACATTATAACACAGCTACTTTTTCTTGCAAAATTAAAGGTGGAAGTGGCTTTCTCAAATTGCTTTCTTTTTGTTAGTAAAATTTTCAACTTAATTATTGTTTTTGACTCTTTAGGAGCAGCATTCAAAACATCATTTGATGTTAGCTGAGAAACTATTGAGGTTCAGTCCACTCCTTGTCAACTTGAAATATCACCATCTGGTGGATTTTTAAGATACTGTCTCAACAGAGCATTAAAAGAAGGTTGTGATTTTATAACTGAAAGCATTCCTGGAGCTTTGCTCCTTGGTCATTTGGCAGTGGTATACTTCTTGGGACTCACTGATTATTTGCATAGGGTACATACTATATTGCTTTGTTGCTGGCTGTTGTTTTTCTATCAGATATGTTTAAAAAGTTAATACCAAATATCAGCAGTGATCTTTGTTTTTTTGTTTTTAATCCTCATTCAAGGATATGTTTATTGATTTTAGAGAGAGAGAGGAAGAGAGAGAGCTAGAGAAAGAGAGAGCAAAACATCATCGCTTCCTGTACACTCCCAGACCGGTGATTGAACCCAAAACATAGGTATGTGCCCTGACCTGGAATCAGACCCATAACCTTTTGGTGTATAGGATGTCACTCCGACCACCTGAGCCACCTAGTCAGGGCACAATGTAGTTTTGAATGAAAATTCTTTTTTTTTTTTTTAAATATATTTTATTGATTTTTTACAGAGAGGAAGGGAGAGAGATAGAGAGCTAGAAACATCGATGAGAGAGAAACATCGATCAGCCACCTCCTGCACATCTCCCACTGGGGATGTGCCCGCAACCAAGGTACATGCCCCTGACCGGAATCAAACCTGGGACCCTTCAGTCCGCAGGCTAACGCTCTATCCACTGAGCCAAACCGGTTTCGGCAAGAATGAAAATTCTAAATAATCACTCTCCTGAAACCTTATAGTGGTGTGCATTTGTTATCTTCATCAGAATCAGAACTTTTGTTAAAAAGTTCTATATGTATTTTTCTCCTTAGCTAGTATGCTTAGCGGTTAGAGAGTGTCGACCAGTTCCCTGAAGTGTCTTGGGTTTGATTCCTGGTCAGGGCACATACCCACGTTGCGGGTTGGATTCCTGGTCCGGGTACCTGGGGGTGGGCAACCAATTGATGTTTCTCTTTCACATCTCTTCCCCTATCCCTTCCTCTCTAGAATCAATGAAAAAAAGCATATCCTCAGGTGAGGACTAAAAAAAACGTATTTTTCAGTCCCAGTCCAGAAGTAGTGAGAGAGACTCTAGCTGTCAGGAAAGAGAATCTCATTTATGAGCACACCATATGATTTTAATATTTTAACCAGGTTTGGAATTCATTTCCTATAAACCATTCATAATAAATTATGTTTTTGAAGTTTCTTAAGAGATTGCTAGGTGATTTACTTTAATACTTTTATTATTTACAGTGTTAAAAGGGCCCGAACAAAGTCTGCTCAAACCATCTGCTGTGAACCAGCAGAACTTTTGAACAGGTGAGTGTTGAAGGGAATACAAAGCTGAGGTGGGTTTATGTAAACAGATGGTTTTTGCTTTGGTTATTTTGTTTTGGTTATTTTTGTCCTATTATTTCTCCTGAGGTTATAGACAGTGAGTAAATTTCTCTAGTACTGCTCAGATCATTTATGAACCATAAGAATAATAATAAGTACTGCTCAGATCCTTTATGAACCATAAGAATAATAATACCCTTTCTGCTTTGATCCTGGTATAAATTTATGTCTTTAACTGTCATAATGATTTTTGGAAGTATCTTAAAGAACCGAAGAGTAGTTGGCTTCATGAAGGACACAATCTAGAAACGGAAGCATTCAGGAACAAGGTTGAAGGACACAATCTAGAAACGGAAGCATTCAGGAACAAGGTTGTCCAGCTAGCACCTTTCTCCCCTTTGGCTAGTCAGTGTCCTCTCTTGTCTCTTGTTATCCTGTTTCAGTTGTCTTTCCACAGTCTGGTCTTTTATGCTTTACAAACACATGAAAGAAAATTTCACTTACTTTCTAGAGCCACAAATGAATTCAGGCTCTTGTTCCACTGGTTTAAATTGTGTCCACATTTCAGGTTCCTTTGAGGGAAAATTTGATTAGTTTAGCTTGGTCCAGTTCTCCATCATTGGTTCATTTAGTATAGCCATGGGTTTGGGGTCCAAAGTGCAACCTAATTAGTTGGAAGATTCCTAAGAGTGGGGACAGGCCTTAGAGAAGGTGGTGTGTTGGCTATTCTAATCAGAGACCCACAGAAGTTTCTAGATATTTTTCCTTTCCTAGAAACATTTTCTTTATATATAGCTAATCAGTTTCAGTTTATGTGCACTGAAGAGTTAAAATATAGGGCATATACTCTTTGAATACCATTATTCATTCTAATGGGTTAAATCTGAAAAGAAAGAAACATCAATTGAGCTATCAGCTGTTAAAGTGTGTATACATTTTTGGGGGGACCCATATATATGCATATCTTTTGGTGAATGAGGGCCAGTAGGTCTCACCAAGCATCTTTGTTGGAACTTCCTAGTGCAGAGTTTTTTTAAAAGATTTTAGAGAGAGAAACATCTATGTAAGCCATCAGCTGCTTCCTGCATGCCCCCTACGGGGGATCGAGCCCACAATCCTGGCATGTTTCCTAACCTGGAATCTAACCAGGAATCAAAATGGCAACCTTTTGGTGCACTGGAGGATGCCCAACCAACTGAGCCACACTGGCCAGGACCCTAGTGCAGAGTTTTAACTAAAGTTCTTTAAAAAAAAATAAAATAAAATAATATACACACACACACACACACACACACACACATATATTTTATTGATCTCAGAGAGGAAAGGAGAGGGAGAGAGAGAGAAACATCAATGATGAGAGAGAATCATTGATTGGCTGCCTCCCGCATGCCCCCACTGGGGATCGAGCTGCAGCCCAGGCATGTGCCCTTGATGGGAATCGAACCCGGCATCCTTCAGACCATGCTCTATCCATTGAGTCAAACTGGCTAGGGCTTAACTAAAATTTTTGATTGGAGTGGGGGAAGGAATACAGGTGTGGTTCAAATGAACACATGGGATAAAGGTTTTTTTGTTCGTTAGTTTTTTTAATTTTCAGAGAGAGGAAAGGAGAGGGAGGGAGGGAGGGAGAGAGAAAAAGAGAGAGAGAGAGAGAGAGAGAGAGAAGCATTAATGTGAGAGTGAAACATTGATCAGCTGCCTCCTGCACACCCCCTATCGGGGTTAGAGTCCGCAACTCCAGGCATGTGCCCTGACCTAGAATTGAACCGAAACCTTTTTGTGCACAGACGGCACCCAACCAGCTGAGCTACATTGGCCAGAGTGCGATAAAGGTTTAACAAAAGGACATAAGCAAATGAGAGGCTTAGTGGAAATTCAGTGGTTACCTATTTATTTTTCATTGATTGCTTTTATAAATTTTAATCTCTGGGTACCTTTTACATTATTGAACAGCACTTAACTATTAGGAAGCAATAGAGAATTTGAAGGGTGGGGCTTCTGTAAGTGAATCTATAGTCACATTATTTGGTAGAAGGGACTTGTTACTGTTGGTAAAGGATCAGTGAGACAGTATAAACTTGTGTATTAACATGTTTTTGTAGTCTTTAATTATTAGTTAATTCAGAAGCAAAATTGCTTAAATAATTTTTTATTACTTAAATCTTATGTTAGTATAATAGTGTATCAAGATTTTTTAAAATTGATTTTAGAGAGGAAGCAAGAGAGAGACACACACACCAATTGGTTGCCTCCCAAAACCACCCCAACCAGGGATGGACCCCAAAACCTCGGTATGTATTTTGACTGGGAATTGAACCCACCACCTTTTGGTGTACGGGATGACACCAAATCAACTGAGCCACACCGGCTAAGGCAGTATATTGAGATTTTTGATGCAAAGCCTAGGGATTATTAATAAAAGTGATCTATTATAAAGTGATGTATTGAATGACAGGTCACAGATGTGACTTCCTATGGTACTTCTTTTTCAGCCAAGGTTTCTTTAGTAAATTGGTTGCAGCTGAATTCATTTTTAAGGTAGAAGAGCCCATTCTCATATTGTACATTTTCTTTAATCTGGATGTTGAGGTAAGGGTTATTCAAGATTTTGTGAAGTTTAAAAAGATTTCCACATAACCTCTGTAAAGGTGTCAAGGGTTTGGGGAATCTTCTCTGGAAAACATTGACTTGTAGTGAGATTATCAAATGACATGGTAATATTTATGACATTGTAATTTTCCCTAGAATAGTTCACCGTTGCTAATTTTGTTCTTGTTCTTTTATCAAAAGGGGGAGAGAAAAGAGAAACATTTACATAATGTTCAGAAATAGTGGGAGAATGATAGTAATAGCTTTTCTTATAGTGATATTATGGTCAGTATGTTCTTTGGGAACAAAGCTCCTTTTATTCAAGTTGTCCTGGATCTGGAGGAAGTCTCAAGAGCTCTGGTCTCTTCAGTATTGGTCCCATGGTTATAGAGACTGGCAAGGAATTGGCAGAGGTACTGTCTTGGTACTTTCTAAATAATAAATCATGGCTGAGGCTGTGAAGACATGTCCACTTCCAGGGGCTCTCATGATTAGACCCTTGGGAGTTGAAGTGGTGCTGCCCAAACCGTGGCCAGTTGAGTAAAGCCATCCTGAAAGCTCAGTGGGACAGCCTTAATTCATGTTCTGGAATCTGATCCTCTCCTTTAATCTTTTATACTACTCCACCATAGTTAATGAAGTTTGTAATAGTGTGTTATGAGAATACATACACTTCCCTATATTGCTTGCTTAATCAAGTGATGCAAAGGCGGGGTAGAAGTTGGCGGAGAGTGGAATAGAGTGGTAGATTGGGAAAGGAGAAAAAGGGACTTCCACAAAATGAATTCCTCTGAAAATTATAAGGAAACAAGAGGCCTGGTGCATGAAATTCATGCACTGGGGGTGGAGGGGGTGGGTCCCTCAACCCAGCCTGTGCCCTCTCACAGTCTGGGACCCCTCGCTCCTTACTGCCTGCCTGCTTACTGCTCCCTGTTGCTCTGCTCGCTGCTCCTTAGTGCTGCCGCAAAGGTTTCCGCCACCTCCCCTGCACTCGCCCGCTGTAAGCCTGGCTTCTGGCTGAGCAGCGCTCCCCCTGTGGGAGCGCACTGACCACCAGGGGGCAGCTCCTACGTTGAGCTGTCATTCCACTCGTCATAGCGACCAGTCATTCCAGCATTCAGTCGATTTGCATATTAGGGTTTTATTTTATAGGACTAGAGGCCCGGTGCACAAAAATTTGTGCACTCGGGGGGGAAGGGGGGAGGTCCCTCAGCCCGGCCTGTGCCCTCTCACAGTCTGGGACCCCTCGGGAGATAACGACTTGCTGGCTTAGGCCTGCTCCTGGGTGGCAGAGGGCAGGCCCAATCCCTAGGTGCAGCCCCTGGTCGGGCTCAGAGCAGGGCCGATTGGGGAGTTGGGGTGCCGCCCCCTGTCATGCACAGAGCAGGGTGGATTGGGAGGTTGCGATGCCACCCTCAGTCATGCTCAGGGTAGGGCCGATTGGGGGGTTGGGGCACCGCCCCCTGTCACACTCAAGGCAGGGTCGATGGGGAGGTTGTGGCGCCACCCCCTGTCACGCACAGAGCAGGGCCCATCAGGGGGTTGGGGAGCTCCCCCCTGTCATGCACAGAGCAGGGCCCATCAGGGGGTTGAGGAGTTCCCCCCTGTCATTCACAGAATAGGGCCGATAGGGGAGTTA